GAGGCACTAAATATTGTATGAATGTATTTGATAATGCAATAATAATAGCTAACATTAATAGTGTTTCAAGTTGGCAAAGCACTTGCTTCTCACAACCCTGTGCTAATATTTCTATTTGGAGAGAGATCAAGTGATTTCATGTCCAGAATCACACAGGTTGTGCTGAGACAGAGTTTGAACTTAGATCTTCCTAAGTTTAGCACTCTATCCTTTATATCAAAGAAATAGGACTGGGTCTATGACCTTACTGACATCTGGGGTGAGCACACTCCCTCTAGCAACGCAGGCTGGAATTCTCTTTGCAACCTCCAGATCTGACATGTTGCCATGGACATTGAGAAGTTCAGGGCAACATAGCTAGTCTGGATGCCAAGCCCAGAGACCAGACTTGAACCCAGGTCTTCTTGGCGTTAATCCTGACTTTGTCAGCCATCCCAAACTTCCTTGAAATGTTACGTATAAGTTGCCCTTCTACAGGGAGGAGGAAGCTGGCTTAACTCTTTTCAGAAACTTTCCTTGGTTTTTCCATTACTCGTGGGCTCACCTTCCTTTCAGCGATCTTTTCATTTACACTGTTGTAGTTATTGCAAATGTTGCTCTTGGTTCTGCATAGTTTGCTCTGCATCAATTCAAACAGAACTTGGCATGTTTCTCTAAATCCCTTGCTTGTCAATTCTTATTCCACAATAATTTTCGATGAAATTCATATTCCATAGTTTTTCAGTCATTTCCCAAATGATGGGAACCCACTTTGTATTTAGTTTTTTGCTACCCCAAAGATCGCTTCTATGACTATTTTGGGAAATCCTAGGTCTTTGTTTTTGCCTTTGATCTTGGTAGGGTATAAAGGCAGTAATGGAGAAGAGCAAGTAGAATTTAGTCACTTTTCTGGCATAATTACAAACTGAAATCCAATATGGCTGGACTACTTCACAACATTACCAAACAGGGTGTCAGCATATCCATCTTCCTACAATCTAACAACAATGACTGGTCCTACTTTTTCACCTTTGCTTATCTGCCTGGCATGTAGCAAAATCTCAGAGCTGTTTTAATGTGCCTTTCTCTTATGGCTTAGTGTAGACCTGCACAACTTGGCAGCAGTTATGGCACAAAATTAAAATAGGCTAAACTTCTCTGGGTCACAGGTAGGTTTTTAAAGGCTCACTTTCCAAGTAAAGGTATAATTAATGACTAAACTATTTTGCAAGTAAACCATATTTTAAAAAAAGGAAATCTCAATTAATAGCAATTAATTACACTTATTATTTAAGATTTTTATCATGAAGTCGCTCTTCTCAGCCTAGAGACAGACAATGGTTGGTTGCCACAGGTCACATGACAAACAGGAGGGAGCGTACAGTGGCAACCCATCTGCCAAGTTATATGACAGGTACAATTGTGACTAGTGGAAGGCAGATTAAGTGGGGCATGGACAAAGCTCTCATTACGTCTTTATTTTCTTTTACATCTTCTACGTTTTTCATGGGCCACCAGAACCTTTGGCAGGCTGTAGGTTGTGCATACCTGGCTTAGTGATTTGGAAAATGTTTTTGTAGTAATTTATAGTATGCAACTCTTCTTTTGAAGTCTTCCTTTTTCAAACACATCAGTACCTGGCTCATTACTCTTCTCCAGTCCAATCCTTTCCCCTGTACTCTTCCGTGTGTGTTCTCTCAAATATTTGGACCTCCCAATTCATCTGTATCTCAATTCTCATTACCTATACTTAAAACTCTAGTGAAACTGTTTTCTACAACGTAACCAATGACCTCTTATCAAATCTTCTTACAGCCTTTTCTCAGTCCTCCTTAAACTCTTTGTAGCATGTAACACCGTTGATCACACTTTCCTTCTGAAGAGTCTCTTTTCTAGGTTTTCATGACACTGTTCTGAGTCTCCTTTATATACAACTCTGTTTCTCACATTCCTTTGCTGGTTCTTCATCCATGTCATATCCACTGTAGGCGTTGTCCAAGGCTCTGTCCTGGGCTGTGTTCTCTTTTTGCTCCATACTATTTCACATGGCCTCATCAGTTTCTGTGGGTTCACTTATCATCTCTATGCTCCCAAATACCCACACATACAGACACATACATACCTACAGCCCCGGTCTCATCTTAAGCTCTAGTCCAGGGGTGGGAAACCTGCAGCCTCAAGGTCACATATGGCCCTGTTGGTCCTCAAGTAAAGCCCTTTGACTCCACGTTTTCTGTTCTGTGAAGTTTGAATTCAGTCATATGGCTGCACTTGAGGACCTAGAGGGCCATAAGTGGCCTTGAGGCCACAGGCTCCCCACCCCTGGTACACCTATTTTGTACGTGCCTAGTTGTTTACACGTGCTTTCCCCTCATTAGAATGTATGCTTCTTGATAGCTGGGATTACTTTTTTGCCTTTTCTTGTATCCCCAGTGCCTAGCACAATGCTTGGTGCATAGTAATGCTTAATAAATGCTCATTTGACCATGGACCATTTCCTCTTCCTAAACATTATCTCCTTCCTGAGTTTTGGTGACACTGTTCTTTTTTGGTTTTCTTTCAGGTTATGCATTCCTTCTTAGTCTCCCTTGCTCAACAATCATTTACTTACCTCCACCTCTGCATGGATATAGCTCACGATTCTGTTGTTAGTCCTGTTTTTCTATTCTCTTTTTGGGATCTCATTGGTTTTCAAGGATTGAATGATCATTTCTATGTCTCCCATACCTACTTATTAAACCATCTTCTTTCCCCAGCTTTCCTGAGTAATCCTCCACCAACTGCCTTCTGGATATCTTAAACACAACTCTCCAGAACACATCCCTTTTTCTAACTTCCCTGTTTCTGTTGAGGGTGCCAACATTCTTGCTGCCACTCAGATTTGTAACCTAGAAGTCACCCTTGATTCTTCATTCTCCCACAACCTTCCTTCAAACCCAACCACCAAGTCCTATCAACTCTTAACTCCAAATTTCTTGTAATTATCCCTTTATCTTCCCTCACACAACCACCAACCTAATTCAAGGTCTTAACCTCAACTATAAGCTTCCTAAATCTCCCTGCTTCCAGTCTCTTACTCTCTCTAATCTATCCTCTACAGATGCCAAATAGATATTCCTAAGACACAGGTCTGACAATGTTACTCCCTTACTCAAGAACATTTAGGGGTTCCCCTTGTCTGTAAAAAACCAAACAAACAAAAAACCATTCGTCTGGCTCTTAAAGCTCTTCACCATCTGGCTCCACCCTATCTTACTAGGCTTATTTCATGGTATTCCCCACTCACGTGCCATATTTCAAAGTGGCTTACCTGATGTCCCTTGAAGAGGAGTGCATTTCTTTGAAGAGAAGACTGTCCCTCATGCTTGAAATGTTCTCCCTCTTTACCTCCATCTGGCACAATCCTTAGTTTTTTCCAAAGAATAACTAAAGAGGCCTTACTTGATCTCCCTAGTAATTAATGCTCCCCTTCTGAAATTACTTTGTATAATACTTACCCTGCATGTTTTATATGTACTTATCAGGTAGATTTTGTCTCTACCGTCCTCAGTAGAATATAAGCTCCCTGAGGATAAGAACAGTTTCACTTTTGTCTTTATAGCCCTAGTAAAAGAATAGTGTCTGGCATGTTATCAGGCTCTTAATGAATACTTGTTGAAATGATAGCTCTTTACAAATTATTAAAAATGAAAGTATAAAAACTGATCAAGTTCAGCATGAAGTTAAAATTAAATTGTGGTTGAAAATACATAGGAAAATATACTGTATTTTTATTGTTGGCATGTTGAAAATTCTATTAAAGTTATTAGAAGTAGCCTTGTTATTACCAGATAGAATGGTGTAGTGGAGCCTCACCATGACCTGAAAGCTGATCTAAGAGCTAGAACACCTTGGGCTCCAAGAGGGCCTTGGACATACAGTAGGTGACCCTGGACAGGTCACTCTACCTCTCAAATACCAGGCAATTCTAACCATAAGTTACAGAACTGGCGACAATCTACATTGGTAGGAGTTTCTTCACGCAGAATTCCTCAAACCAATAACAATGTTAATAATATTAGCTAACATTTATATGTTGTTGTTCAATCATATCTGACTCTGCATGACCCCATTTGGAGTTTTCTTGGCAAAGATACTGGAATGGTTTGCCATTTCCCTCTTCAGCTCTTTTACAGATGAAGAAACTGAGGCAAACAGAATCAACTGACTTGCTCAGGGTCACAGAGCTAGTAGGTGTCTAAGGCCAGATTTTAACTCAGGAAGATGAGTCTTTCTGACTCCAGGCCTGGCATGCTATCCACTGCACCATCTAGCTGTATTTATGTGTGCCAGGCAATGTGCTAAGTGCTATATAATCATTATCTCATTTGATCCTCACAACCACCTTAGGAAATAAGTGCTATTATTATGCCCATTTTATATATCAGAAAACTGAGGCAAACAGAGATTAAGTGATTTGTCCAGGGTCACAGAGGTAGGAAGTGTTTGAGGTGAGATTTGAGGTCTTCCTGACTCTAGAGCCCAGAGCCTAGGCCCAGCTCTCTATTAAAAAAAAAGATTACAGATCTCCATCAATAAAAGTTCACAATAAAGACTATAGTAGTAAAAAAAAAAGTCCCTATGGAAGGTCAGACAAAGCTAAAAAATAGATCGTTTGCCTAAATTCTATAACTCTGAAAAGTTATCCTTTATCCAACTCAAGCTATGAAACCATCATACTCAAGCTAAGTACACCATCCTTGGTTGTATACTATTATCACAATTTAATCTAAGATTACTTCTGTGTTAAGTTTTAGTGAATGAATGCATCAAATAGGGTCCTTAGTGTGGAGAAAAAAGACAACTTCATCCTTAGGCAAACCGAGTTAGACAAAAAAAAGAGCAGAGAACTAAGATTTCAGCTTTTAAAAGAGAAACACAGCTTATTGTTATTCTATGGCACCCCCTAATGTTCATGTATGACATATCACTATAATAACATTGAAATGATACGGAATTAAATAGAAACTTGGAAAACAATATGAAGTCGGAATGTAAAATTTATGAAAATCTTTTTCTTTCTTTTATGGTTCCAGTGGACACTTTAAAATGATATATAATTTCATTCAATTTACTGGAATGTTAGTTGAAAAAAACATGTGACAAATGCAGTAAAGAAAAAAGTTAATTCTAATGGCTAAATTACTGGAAAAATTAAATTTTTGGCAGTAGCATGAAACATAGATGAGGCAGAGAGTGATTTTTAGAGAGCCCTCCAGAATCAAACTTAGAAAAAAACAAAATGAAACAAACAAAATAAAAACAAACAAACCCCCCCCAACAAAGTTTAACCCAGATATGTTGTTGTAGTTATATACAAAGTATTTTTGGCACTGTATAAATGAATATACAGTAATAAATCACTGTGTACTTATTAAATAGTAAGACTAAAAAGCTCTAGACAATCTACCTATTGCAAATGTTTACTATAAGAGAAATTAGCCCTATGATGTTGAGAGTTTCTATTACACAATAAATATGTTAAGGTATCCTTGCAACTACCCAAACTGTTTGTGCCACCTGTTGGCTAATTGCCTATTATTATTTTAAAGGTTATTTTAAACAAATTTCAGCGTCAATGGGGCAATGAAGACATTAAAGAGAGATGGCAATAGCTATCCCTCCCTCCTTTGCCTGTTGGACTACCCTCTTCTGGACTATGTAAGCAAAATGGAGAGACTGAAAACTGAGATGATTTTATTCTACCTGCACAGATGTTTTAAGAAAAGACTGCCCCAGGAGATGCAATATGAGAGAGAACATCTTATGGCTAAAGCACATTGGATTTCCCTGTACAAACAAGTATTAAAGAAAAAACCCTTTTATCAAAGGAAAATTAAGAGTACATTATTTGTCATTATGAAAACAGTAGCCAAGACGTTTTGCAACACTAGCAAGATGGATATATTCTGTCAACTTTGTAATGATGATTTACATGACAAATAGTTTAAGTTACATTTAGTGGGACTCCATTTTCTGTTTATAGGTACTTCTCTTATACAGAAAGAGAGTATTTTGCAAATAAATGGAGAGAAGATCACATTCATCTCTTTCCAACATGTTTTTGGACACAAAGTCTCTCAGTGCTCTGCTTCCTTTTTGGAGGTTAGTGCTAAGCAGCAAGTGGTTCTTATTGGGTATAGATCATCCCCATGCCTGAGATTTGCAGTAATGCAGGACCAGCTTACCATCACTGCCAAAACACTACAAAAAGGGAAAAAAAAAAAAGAGAAAATATAAGAAAGGAATTAAGCTCCACTGCATTCCCAGTCTCAATGTGTAATCTACTCCTCAAAATGAAATCAACACCATCAAATGTCATAGACCACAAATATTCTGCAATATTTCTACATATATGTAAACAAGTAGATTATAAGCATTGCAACCCTAATCTGTTAAGCAATGGGTATTTTCCTTTGACACAATTAGGAATACTTAGTGAACTCGGCCATTTCAACCAGGGACAGAAGTATACTTTTTTAACCTTGTTCAATGTTACTGAATCCAGCACTAAAATGGTATATACTTGAGTTACTTTTTCACTGGTAATTAATTTAATTGCATTTAGCCACATTTCCTCTTCCCATTATGGTTACTATTCTAACTAGTAATAATAATTTAAACTCACATTTAGTAGGTGTTTTTCTTACAACTCTGTGGAAGAGTATAGGTATGTACTTTACATATATATGTATTATATAGATATGTGCATACATATGTATTATGTGTATTTTACAGATAAGGAAACAAGTCCATTGTAGAGATTAAGTGATTTATGTAATGTCAGACCTGAGGGTCTCTCAAAATTGAATCTCTTTTTATCTCAAGTCCAGCAATACACTTCCTCCTCCCACTTACACATACTAGGCAGCTGAAAGACAGCTGATAATCTTGACTAGCCATTTCCCCCGAATCATCCAGGAAATGCTAGATGATTGACTCTAGGAAAAAGTAAGAAGGGTTGGAGCTAGTTAGGACATAGTGATAACAAACAAGGTGAATCAGAAATCCCGACAAAAAATGACCTCAAAAGATACATTGAGATTTGGTGGGTCAGGACCTTTACCTGGAATATGGTTCTGAAGGGACATACCCCACAGAAAAGGAACAAGACAGGAAGAAAAGGGAAAGAGTGAGTAGTAATTTGTATGAAGAAGGAACCCAATGAATCAGAGGGGGAGAAGATGGGGATGATCTGGGTGAAGATCAGTAGAGAAAGACACAGAAATGCTACTGTTATTGAACAAACAGAAGAAACAGATGAGGAATTAGGGAAGATTAGAAACAACATAGTAATGGTCGAAGCTTCAGTTATATGGACACCTGATGGAGTTCCCTCTCTGATAAAAGCAAAGCAGCCAGTAATCTCCTGGTTTGCCTTGATAATAATTTCACCCTTCAAAAGAAAGAGGGGAGGAACCAAAAGGTGAACTGTTGTACTGGACCAAATTCTCCCCAAAATGGTGAAACTAATTGTTGAAATAGAAATGAAGGGATCCTTCAGGGTTTTGACCAATACTAATTTGCAATAGAGAAGAGGACAGGTGGGCACAGTCTGACATGCATTCTATTATTCAAAGAAAGGTTAGATTGAATCCCATGGCCTAAATTTTTTTTTTATAGAAATAGGCTCAAGAGGAATAAGAAGCCTTCATGAATAAAATTCAGAAGAAACAGAGAGAAACTTTGATGAAGACAAAAAGATGGTTATTACCTTAAGATATAGTTATATATATACATAGAGAACTCACTGAGCAACTTAATTTTTTTTTTTTGGTTTTTTGGCTAGGCAATGGGGTTAAGTGACTTGCCCAGGGTCACACAGCTAGTAAGTGTTATGTGTCTGAGGCCTCATTTGAACTCAGGTCCTTCTGAATTCAGGGCCGGTGCTCTACCCACTACACCACCTAGCTGCCCCCAGCAACTTAAATTTTTAAAAAGACATGAACAACAGACAGAAATGAAGTCAAGTAACAGAAGACAACTACAAAAGCATGGCATGGTCCTATAAGAATAGTGTTAGGTATACTTAGGTGCTCTATAGTGAAAAATGAGCTGAGACTAATAAAGAAAAAAATGGAACACAAAAGGTTTTTTAAAGCTAAATCGGGATATGTGTGTGTGTGTATGTGTGTGTGTGTGTGGGAAATTAAAAAAAATTTTTTTGTGGGGGGAAATATTGAAAAAAATATAGGACTACTGTTTATGAAGGATGAGATGATGAAAGCGAGAAGGCAGAACTAACTGTTCTACTCTTATTTTCCTTTGGCTAACTCTGCTGAGAATAATCTTTGGACTGGAAAAAAAACAATCAAAAAAAAAGGCTAGTTTGTAATTGAAACCTAAAATAAGTAAGGAGATGGAATAGAACACCTTGCCACTTTTGATTAATTCAAGTCACCAGGTCCACAGAGATTACATCCCAGAGTACTGAAAGAACCAGCAGATTTGGTTGCCGAGACTCTGTTTACTGATATTTGAAAGACTTCAGAGAACGGGAGAGGCACCAGGTCTAGAGAAGGGAGAATGGAAGAGAATGTAATCTACAGACAATATATCAATAAGGTGACTTCAAATCTTGATAAAGTTCTACTTTGTGTTAATGGGATGGAAAGTGAACATCTAGAAAAAGAAAACAAAGAGCTAGTAAAGCTTCATCAAAAACAGTCTATTTAAGATGAACCTCATTTTCTTTTTGGACAGGGGTATGCCAGAGCCAGCTTACTTGGATTTTAGCAAAATATGTGACAAAACTTCCCATGTGATGGCTGTAGACAAGATGACAAGGGCTAAAGTTACAGAGAAAGGTCAGAGAAGTGAATTAAAAGGTGGCTGAATGACCAAATCTCATTAATGGCTCAATGTCAACTTGGATAGAAATTTCTAGAAGAGATGTGCTTGTGCTGGTTAATATTTTTATTAATCACTTGGATAAAATTATAGATGGCCTCATTAAATTTCTAGATCGCCAGTTTATAGATATACAGTTGGAATATACTTTTAGAGGCCAATGAAGTCCAATAATTTAAATTTAAGATTCCTTTTTTTTTTTGATTGGGTAATGGGGGTTATGTGACTTGCCCGGCTAGGAAGTGTTACGTGTCTGAGGCCACATTTGAACTCGGCTCCTCCTGAATCCAGAGATGGTGCTCCACCTACTGTGCCACCTAGCCAACTCCCAACAATTTAATTTTAGAGACAGTTAAGAAGGGACCCAGGTAGGTTATACTAGGTTATCCACGGTCACATAAGTAGTGTTAGTACAAAGCTAATATATTATATGACAAAACTAAGGTCCAAAACAACCTCGATAGGCTAGAATGCTGGTGTAAATCTCATATGAAATTTATTACAAAGAAATATAAAGCCTTACATTTGGATTAAAAAAAGTCAACTCCACAAATATAAGATGGGAGGAGGGTAATATAGCTAGACAGCAGTTCATTTGAAAAAAAATCTGGGGGTTTTAGTATACTGAAAGCTCAATATGAGTCAACTATCAATGACAATTATTGTGTGAGATAGCAACTAAAAATCTAAAGTGACAGGGTGATAAACTTTAGAGATACAGTATCCAAGTAGAGGAAGGAGCTAGTCCCTCTATATGCTGCCCTGAAGAGATCACATACAGATTACTGCGTTCAGTTCTAGGCAAGATACTTTTTGGAGAACATTGCTAAATTGGAAAGGGTCCAGAAAAGGTGAATGACCAGAAGTTCATGCTATAAGAGGTTCAGTAGAAGGAACTGAGGATGTTTAGTCTGGAAAAGGGAATAGTAAGAGGTGGAGTGTGTGTGAACATGTATTTGTGTGTATGTGTATATGGAGAGAGAAGAACTGTCTTCAAGTATCTGAAAGGCTTATCATATGAAAGACTGATTAGACCCGCACTTCTTGGTCCCAAAGTCCAGAAGTGCAGAGAGCCAGATTCTGACTTGATATAATCAGAGCTATCCAACAGTGAAATGGGTTATCCTGGGAGGTTTTTATCATTAGAAGTCTTCAAGCAAAGACTGAATAGTTACTTGTTGGGGTTGTTGCACAAAGGATTTTGGTTCAGGTAGAGCTTAGCCTCAATGGCCTCTGCAGACCTTTCTAATCCTGATACACTATGAATCTGAATATTGGTTTTTCCCCTGAATACAGTTCAAAGTTACACATACAAGGTCCTTATAGACAGTAAAATATCAACGATCTAAGATAAACAGAAATGTAATTTATGAATAATTTATCTATATTCACTATGTAAAGGTTGAAATTAATTACCTCATAGAGTGTTCCAACTTCTTGATCTGGTGAAGGAGCAAAGGACTGATTCACATATATAAACTGTGAGGAAAGAAAAAAAATGTCATTATTATCCAATGTCATAATTATCCAATCTTCTTTCATAGCTCAGCATCTTGAGTAAACAGTGTTTCTTCCCATTCCTGATCACTTACATCAATGTCTTTGCTCTGAGTCTATAGTCAAAACTACTGTGTCATTCTGGTTACAAAGAAACCTGGAAAAATATATATACTGATACAGAGTGAAGAGAAAAGAACCGAGAGAACAATTCATACCGTAACAATAACATTATAAACACAAACAAATTCGAAAGAACTTTGAGATACTCAATGACCAACCATATTTCCTAAGATCCAAGCATGAAGTATACCACCCACTTCCTGATAGAAGTGATAGACTCATTTTTTGGGGGGTGAGGCGGGTGTGTGTGTGTAGACAATATGGAAATTTGTTTTGCTTGAATATGCAAAGTTGTTACAAGGGTTTTGTTTTTCTTCTTCCTTCCTTTCCAAAGGAGAGGGCAAGGGTGAAAGAGAGAGAAAATAGATTTTTAATTGAACGAAATTTAATTATTTTTAAAAGAAAAAAAATACATTTCTCCAGTTTCATACTTTTCCTACCTAAGAGTTTAGCCTGTTTTTGCTGTTTTAAGGTGTTATGAATCCTATGTAAGGAAAAGAACAATGTTGCTCACATACCAATTGTTCAGAAGCCACAAGTTTAAGAAATTTTTTGATGAAAGCAATGAGACCCTGAATTGTTCGGGTTCGTTCCACAGCCCACTTCTTTGTTTTCATTATAGGGGTGTCTCCAACAGCCTTTAGTAGAACATCAACTGTAAAAACAATGTGAATGACAATTAAACTGAAATAGTTAAAAAGAATGAGATATTAACAATTATAATACTTTTACAAAATCACCAACTAGTTTCTTTTAATAAAGCCTGGAGTTGGCCACTGTGATGAGTAAATATTTTAAATATTACTTTTTTCTTGTTAATGACTTTTCCTTTGTCCTCCAACAATTTATAAGTCATTGCAAGGTTGCCCTTTAAAATCCAGTTGCTAGCTCTAAATAATTATGTCAAGTCAAAAGCCTCTCCGAACTAAAGGAAATAACTGAAGGGAAATGGTGCCTTCCAGAGATGACCTGTTTCCTACAGCTTCCTTGTACCTATGGCCAAAAGCTGGTAGGAGAATTTGAGCTAGCTGGCCCATTTTCACACTTTTAGTCTCATTCCAGTCTAATCCATTCCTTTTACCACTTCTCCCTTTCCTCCCCCACAATTCTCTCACCTCATTCCACCCAGAGCTCAAAAGTTTAGCCTCCTGTTGTTGCCATTAGTCCTTCCTTCTTGAAGAGGACTGTGACATCAGAGAAATGATGCTGTGACTTGCAAGTGAACTGAATTTAAGTGAGGCAGGGCGGCGCAAAGCCACCAGCCTCACTTTCTCCTCCACAGCCATCTGGGTTCAGTGACAAGATATAGATCAGGATGGCTGGAGATGGCCCTGGATGGAGTGGGAGATCTTGGCTTTTTTAAGCAGTCTTTAACAGGTCTCAGTTTGACTGAAGCAACGTCCACTCAGTGATTAAGGCTAGGTAAGAAATGAGGCAGAGAATGGCCTCTTTACTGAGTGAAAAAAGAATGATAATGATAAGTTTCATGCATTTTGGAAGCAAGCGTGGGTTCAGAAATTGCAGTGACACTGATAGGGCTTTCTTGCATTAGGCCTTCTTTCCCCCTGCATTGGGACAAGTTTTCTTACATCTTACTCTCCACAACACACTCTTCAGTCTAGTGACACTGGACTTCTCGCAGTTACACAAACAAGACACTCATCTCTTGGCTCTGGGTATTTTTCTCATGGAAAATCGAGTTCAACTAAAACCCCACATTCTATAGGAAGCCTTCCCCCACCTCTCTTATTTTTTTCTTATTTATCTTGTGTATTACTTGTTGGTACATATTTGTTTGCTTGTTGTTTCCCCCTTTAGATCATAAGCTCCTTGAGGGCAAAAGTTGTCTTTTGCCTCTTTTTGTATCCCCAGCACTTGGCACAATGCCTGGCACACTGCAGGTGCTTAATATATGTTTACTATACGTGGATACCAGAAGTTAATATACATGTAAAGAAGAATTCCGGTGAAAGTGAACTCCTGATAGAAAATATAACATACTAGATATTACATAGTTATTAGAGGTGCTGAGTTTTATCAGTTTTCCTTTCCCTTTCTACAGGCATTATTCTAATTCAAATCCAAATTGCTGTTGTTTAGTCATTTCCAAATCTTTGTGTCCCCATTTGGGGACTTCTTGGCAAATATACTAGAGCAGTTTTGCCATTTCCTTCTCCAGTTCATTTTACAGATGAAACTGAGGCAAACAGGGTTAAGTGACTTGCCCAGGGTCACACAGCTAGGAAGTATCTGAGGCTAGCTTTGAACTCAGGAAGATGAGTCTTCCTGACTCCAGGCCTGGCACTCTAACCACTAAGCCCCCTAACTGCCCCAAATCCAAATCACCTCTTTCTATACAACTTTAAGAGTTCAATGGGCACACCACTATTAATGAACTTCCTGTACCATGGTTCTAATCATATCATTCTTGGATTTAAAAACCTCCAATAGTTCTTCTACCACCTATACAATAAGGCAGACTCCATAAAGCAGACATTATCTCTTTAAGTAAATGTTATAGTCTCTCTAGAAGCTGACCTAAACTTACTTTTTTCCATCTTGACATTGCTCACCACAGGCATTCTATTCTTCTGTTCCTGAAAAGGCCCTATACATTTCTATCGTGCCCCCCTTGTACCTTCCTTTATGTCAATCTCTCTGCATGGAATACTCTTATACAATATTTTTATACCTGTTAAAATCCAATATACTGTTCACCTAATCAATTCACAAATTTATTGACTGCTATATGCTAGGCATTGTTGTAGGTTCTGGGATACAAAGCGAAAAAAGCTAACAATTTAGACCCTCCTGACGCTTATAGTCTATCAAGGGAAATGACAGCTACACAAACACATCAAACAAAATATATACAAGATATTTTGAGGGGCAGAGATGGTGTGGAGATTCAGGAAAGCTTAACCCAGGAAGTAAATTTGAGGCCATATACTCCCAAAGCCTTCCCCATCCTCTCCTGTGTTATTTTTAGGTCTACTATCCTTAGAATTTCAGCAGGAATCCTCCATTTGGCACAGCCTCACCCAGTGACAACCTAGACAACACCTAGAATTATGGTTGGTAGTTGTTTGTGCACATTTCTTATCTATATCCTAAAGCTCAGGTCCTTCAGGCCATGAACCACTTTTTGGTCACATCCACCGCCTCCACGCCACTAAGAGGCGTGTTAAAGTCCAAATCAAGGATGCTTCATGTTCCTCCTGCACTTAGAGTGGGGGGAGGAAGGGAAATTAGGGTAATTCAGGCAGTCGGATTGCACCCTTTCATTGCCAACCTGCTCCCCAATCTTGAGCAGCCCAGTCGGCTTTTTCCCTCACTTCTCCACCAGCTGCAACAAACAGACACTTATCCTTCTCGGATTAGACAGGGGTACCACCGCGTTGGTCAATCTTCACTTTTTAATGGTCACTGCCCTTTTTTCAGTCACACGTTCATCGCAACTGGCCCGTCCCAGGCAAAGGGAAGGAAGGGAAATTACTTTTTTTTTTGGCATCGCCGGTGGGTTCCTCTGTTCCAGGGGAGACGGCGGCGGAAAGTGCCGGCTCCAAGGCATTCGTATCCGGGCCCAGCTCGGGAGCTCCCTCCCCTGCGTCGGGGCCCCCGGGAAGGGACATCGGCTGCCGCTCGGGCTCCGCCATCCTGCTCCTCGGCCTCGGCCTCCGACCACGTGCTGGGGGCGGGGGTGTGTGTGACCCCGGGATGAGAGACCTTGGGCTCGTCTTCCGGGAAGCGCTGAGCGTACGGCCCCTGCAACCAGAACCACGCAGTCAACACCGCCCTTGTCCCTCAGGCCCCTTCGGGCCTCGAGGGGCGGCGGGCGGGGAGGTTAACAGAGGTCTGTGAGCCCGAGCTGGGGGGAGAGAGCCTGGAGGAAAATGTCCCCCACCCTCTGCCGTCTGCGTCTGCGCAGGCGTCTCCCGAGCCGGTGTGTCGTCTGCTTCTTAAGACGCAAAGTTAGTATTACCACCTCTTCAACAATGACTTCACAGTCAATACCAACCTTCTCCCTCTAATGTCGAAAGCGGTCGGGCAGGGATTAACAGAGCTCGAGGTCGACAGTGAAGAAAATACCCCTGCGCTTTCTGCCTCAGCCCTCGCACCCTTAACGTCCGTGTCTGCGCAGGCGCTCCCCGAGCTCTCGCACCCCCTCTCGCTTCCTGCCCGCTATGTCTGCGCAGGCGCTCTCCAGGGTCTCGCCCAGACACCCCGCAGCAGGCGCAGGCGCTCCTCTCGCTTCTAGACCTCTGCTTCTGCGCAGGCGCTCCTCTCGCTTCTAGACCTCTGCTTCTGCGCAGGCGCTCCCCGGAGCCTGGGCTAGGGCCCTCCTGGCGGCTCTTGTGACGCGAGGCGTATCCGCTTCCAGCTGATCCATCCTCTGTCGGGTTCGCTCTCCCCTCCCCTCCCCTCCCTCTCCGGGAGCGCGCGGAGGGGGCGGGCGGGGAAGCGACTTGAAGCAGAAGAGGAGGGCTGTGCTGGCTCCGCGCGCGCCGCCCGGGACCCAGCGCCCACCCGGCCACCCCCTCCCTCCTCCCAGACCCTTCCCCTGCCGCGGGCTCCATCATGATCAAGGCGATCCTCATCTTCAACAACCACGGGAAACCCCGGCTCTCCAAGTTTTACCAGCCCTATGTGAGTATCCCTCCACGCCGTGCCTGCCTGCAGCTGCTACTGCTGTTGCAGCCCCCACGCCCCTCGCCGCCCCCACCTCTCCCAGATGCAGTCCCGCGCCGCTTTCCACCGGTTCCCTGTGCCTGCCCTGCCCATCCATCCGCAGGCTCTCCCCGGAATGTGGGTCTTCTCCGCCCATCCCCATCTGACCATGAACGTGGCTCCTTTTTCCCCGCCCGGACACCTCCTGTTGCCTGGGCGCGCCTTTCTTCCTTTGCACCATCCCTCTTCCCCGCGCCCCCGCTAACCACTCTCGTGCAGTTTGATTGCATCTGTCTCTATGCCTGTCCCTCGGGCATATGTCACCCGGCTAAGGAGAAGTCCCTTAGCTCTCCACGGGGATGGCCCTGTCTGTGCCCGCGGCGGCGCGCGCAGGGCTCGGGTTTGGCCAGACCTCCCGAACGTTTTGTTCATTCAGCCAGCATTTAAGTACCTGCTGTGTGTTGGGTGCTGGAGGTGCGGAGACCGGAAAAAAAAAGTTCTTGCCTTCGAGGAGCTTACCTTTCCTTTTGTGGGGAGGCGACACGCCCACAGAAAAGTATGTTGATCATAAGTACAAAAGTGATTTCAGGGAGCAGGACGTTAGCTACTGAACATAGGTTGTATGTCAACTCAAATTGAGCTTTGCAGAGAATTTGTAAAGCATGCTTGAGGTGGGGGGACAGATAGCCCGTACAAAGGCAGGAGATGGCATGCCTGGTAGAGGAGAACAGCAGCTGGAACTCAGAATATGAGGAGGGAAGTACTGTGCAACGAGGTCGGAAAAATAGGTGGAGACAAATTTAAAAGCTAAAGTGAGGAATTTGTGTTTTATCTTAAGAGGCAAGAAGGATTCACTGGAACTTCTTGGGCAGGGGAGTGGCATGAAAATCTTTTCCCTGTTAGATCCTTATGGACACTACCACTTTCTTAATTCTAACTGCAGTCTTCAGTTCATGTGCTTGATTTTCTGGTGCGTCTCATTTTTGTGTGCATGGCTACTATGACTTTGGCCATTCCTTATTAAAGATTAAAAGTGATAAGGAGTCTATAGGATAACTTTTTTTTCCACTGCTGAGCAAGCTCATAAAGTTTGTAATGAGGCTAATTAGAACTGTGCTTTTCTACTTGAAATATAGATTTCAGCTTCAAGGGACATTTTTGAATGAGGAAGTTTGATTCTGTTTAGCAATCACAGGGGTCTGTTAGGGTGAGGCAGTTGTAGAAATGGTAAGACTTACTAGACTGGACAACTTGAGTTTGAGTTAATTCATTGTCGCTACCTATTAGCTGTTGTGACTTTGGACTTTTCTCTGAACCTTACTTAGTTTCCTCATTCATATAATTGGGCTAATAATACTGCCCTGCCTATCTCTGGAGGTTAAGAATGTCAAGTGAGATAATGTATGTAAAAGCACTGTATGAATGTAAAATATTGTCGTCACTCCTTATTGTCTTTCAGTGAGAATGTAGGACTGTTACAATGATTGTAAAACATTTGGCAATTTAGCAGAGAGCACAAACATTATTGATAAAAGCAATCGCTGGTTTCCTTACCCTGTTTAGAGAGAAATACATTAAAAATTGATCATGTTACATTGATGTTTATGTATTATGAATACAGAATGAAAGCTCCTTGAGAGTGCGACTGTTTTCACGACTACCTTTGTATCCACAGTGCCTAGTACATAGAGAAGAGCCACATTCACTGTTGGGGAAGGCACAAAGGGCTGGGCCTTCAGTGGAAAGAATTTAGAGAGAAAAGAGATTGGATCACCAAAAATTCTGTTTGGAGCCAGAAATGCACTTTCAATTAAAAGATGAAATGGTGCCTGAGTTGACACTTCTCTGCAGTTTTTAATTCCATACAGAAGTCTTGCCAGCCTTTAAAAATTACAAGTGAAAATGCCAGTTTTCATAAAATGATAATGTAGTCTTTGTTATGTAGGTTCAGTAGAAGTGAGAAATCCTGAAGTGTTGCTTTAATTTACCCATTTCCTTTAGTGGTTTAGCGAGAGATAAGTATAATAATTTTCTTTTTGGCTCCAGTTTTAGCCTCTGTTTTAGAGAACAAAGCAGAGTTTAAGTAGAATCACAGTTACTAATCCTTTAGTTAATTATTTCACTTTATTCTGTAGTCTAAGAAAAATCTTAGGTTTTCCCACTTTGTTCTATGTGGATTAATGAAAAGCCATTAACTCTGTATTTTTAAGCTCATTTGCCTAAAATATAATACTGCCCTCTGTTAAACCAGCCACATCCCTAACCCACTGTCTTTTTTTTTTTCAATCAATACAGGTAGCCTTCAGTTGTGCTCCAAATGTTTCCTTGAGAGTTTTGGAACTCAAAATATGCTTTTCCATAAAAACAATTTTAGAGGTATGGAATCTCTAGAATTGAATGGGACCTTAAAAGGGAATCTAGTGTGACTTTTCAACTCCAGTAAATTCTCTCTGTAGCATTTCTGATAGTTAGGTGGTCATCCAGGCTGTGTCTGAGAACTTGCAGTAGTGGAGAAATCTCACTACCCAAGATGACTCATTCCTTTTTTTTCTTCTGGTATCTCTACTTGTTAGTAAACATTCTCTAATACTGAGAAGAAATTTGTCTCCTTGCAACTTTGGTTAAATTCAGCCAACATCTGTTAAGCACAAACTGCATTCAAGGCACTGGGAATGCAAAGACCAAAAAACCCTGACAATAGACACCAGTTCTTGGAGCTTACATTTTGTAATACAAGATAGATACAATGTGTATTATTATTGTTCAGTTGTTTGTCATTCTGACTCTTAGTGACCCCATTTGGGGTTTTCTTGGCAGATACTGGAGTGGTTTACCATTTCCTTTTCCAGCTGATTTTATAGATGAGGAAGCTGAGGCAAATAGGCTTACCTGACTTGCTCAGGATCACACAGCTAGTAAGAGTCTGAGGCCAGTTTTAAACTTAGGAAGATAAGTTTTCCTGGCTCCAGGCCAGATGTTCCATCCATTGTGCTACCTATATCTCATTGATTGATCTATCTCTCTATATTATATACAATGTAATTTGAGGGAAGAAAGAACTAAGAACCGAGAAGAATGTGTTAGGGAATAATAATTGACATCTTTGTAGTCCTTTAAATTTTGCAAAGAGCTTTATCTAGTTCGCACCTCACATCAACCTAGTGAAGCAGCTACTACCACAGCTGTTATCCTTATTTTACAGAGAAGGAAACAGATTAAGAGGTTGTGATTTTTGGCACATAGCTTGTGTCAGAAGTGGATCTTGAACTGTGGTCTCTCCCTGATGCTAAATCTAGCCCTCTCTCCATGATACAAGGATGCTTCTAAAGGTTTCTTACAGGAGCTGGGTCTTGAAAAGGAGCTTAGGATAGTCAGAAGAGGAGGTTAGAAGGTAGTGAATTTGAGGTTCAGGGGACAGCCTGTGCAAAGGCATGAATGTGTAATGTCAGTATTGAGGAACTGCTAGTAAGGCAGCATGTGTGGAATAGAGTGTGAGGAAGATTTGCTGAATATGAGGTGAAGCCTCAGAGTTGTGTTGATTTTCATTTCTCTTATTATTAGTGATGTGGAGTTTTCTTTCACCTGGTTGTGAGTAGTTTGCAGTTATTTTGAGGACTGTTTGTTTATATCCTTTGAACTCTTAGCTTTTGCTCTCTTACAGGCTGTCCCAAATGTCTTAGTGTAGTTTTAAGCTGTTAAAATTTTGTTAATGCTATATATTTCTGTTAGTTACCTGTATATTTTGGATATCACACTTATTAGAGATGTTTGATACAAAGGTTTTTCCTTGTTGACCTCTTATCCTAGTTGCATTAATTTAGCCCCTGTAAAAGCTTTTCAGTTTTCTGTGAGGTTTAAATTGTCTGTTTTTGGCTTTTGTAATTTCCTCTATATAGGCAGCTAGGTGGCACAGTGGACAGAGTACCAGGTCTAGGGTCAGGAGTTCAAATGTGACCTTAGACACTTAGACTCTGCCTCTTTTTTGTCCCAGTTTCCTCATCTGTAAAATGAGATGGAGAAGGAAATGGCAAACCACTCCAGTATCTTTGCCAAGAAAACCCCAAAATTGAAGAGTGAGACACTAC